GACTACGCTCGTTGCTAAAGCTTGGTTTCGTCGCGGAACAGCGCATCAAATTGCGGCCGCGATTTCTGATATTATTTTTCTGCGAAAACTTCGTTGACCTTTGGAGACATCATTAATATAAATAATTTTTATGGCCGTTAAATAAGAAATGTTTCTTTCACAAGAAATGTATAAAATTACAGTACTAAACAGACGATAGGTCGCCTAACTCGCCGTAGCGTGACGCTAGACGGCGAAAAATATATATTTAATTATAATAAAGTTACAATAAATTAAGTTAATATATAATTATATATACAGTACCTAATTTATATATAATTAATATATAATTATATGTACAGTACCTAATTTATATATAATTTATATAATACTGTCCAGACGATAGAAATCTCTCCGTAGCGTGGCGCTACGGACGGCGGGAAAGTAGTTCGGCTGCCCGATGACGTTTTACGTATTATAGGAGTTATTTTTACCGTTGTTTACGGATACTGCCACAATTTTTATAGGAATCATAACTATAGGAAATGGTTTTATAGGGGGATCTACTGTATATAAATTGAGGTCATAATTGTAGAAAACAATTTGCAAATATTATTTGAATGAAATAAATTTATTTTTATGTTCATCTAGGATGCATTCCCAAAAGGAGAGATATTTTTAGGCAACGTTTCCGAAGGTTATGCAATCAAGAAAGGCGTTCCCGCCGGAATGAAAAACCAGGGATTTTCGTTTACGTTGAAGACACCGGAACGCACTTACCTTCTGAGTGCAGAAGCCGAAGACGACCAAGAAGAATGGATTGCAGTCATTCAGCAGGTTCTGGAAAGAGCATTAACTCCGCAGGATAAAACTTATAAATTAATTTTAAGAAAACATTAATTTAAATTTTCTACTTGATTTTGTTACCCTAAATTATATCTTATATAGTGGTACTTCCTTAAAGATTTGTTATCTTACATATATGTACTAGTGATGGGATGATGATAAAATTTCTCCCAATTCCAATTTTTTTGAATACTTTCTAAGTTTAATTTAGTTTAGAAAAATTAATAATTTATATTATGAGCAGGGTACATTCATCAATGAATAAACATCAAGCTTAAGAATGGAAAATCCACAATCAATCTTTTGAAAGAAACCCGAAAATTCTCTATTTATATGTAGATATGCTTTTTTTTTATTGTGTACTTCAAAGGTTACAAATTTTACAAAGTAAATTTGTAACCTTATTTTAGATAAAGTTAATATTGTAACACTACCCTCAAAGAAATTACTGCTAAATCCCTTTTACTCAAGGAAATGTTGCATCACATCATCTAGGGTCACCACCTTTGGGAACTGCTTTGTTGGCCAATGTGATGACCAGGGGAAGGTAAACGAGAAGATGCACTTTTTTTACATGCTTCTTGCAATTGGCGTGCCTCGTAAATGCTTTAATTTCATCTTATTTAACACTAAATGAGGCTCGGCAAATGGTGCAACGACGTGAACAAATATCGTCATCACAAGTTAACCAAGTTTTGAATTCAATCACTCGAGCCAGGTTTTCCTAAATGTACAATTGTGTGAACTTTTTCAAGGAAAAGAAGAATTAAATGAATGCTTAGACTGACTCATCTTGAAAAATCAATTTTTAAAATTCAAAATGTCAGTAAAGTTATTGCAGACAATTAATTTTACTAAGAATCACACAAATCACATTTGAAAATTTAATGCATTACAGTATCCGTGAATGATGATAAAAACTTTCATAATTATAATGAGAAAGTTGTTTTATCATTAAACCTGACAGACATATGAAAAGGAATCAAAAATGTTCATTTAAATAAATTAAGTGTTGATGAAAAGAGCATTTAAGATGTTTAAACATTTTATCATTATAAGTAAACATACTAAATATTAAAAATAATTTTGTTTATATTTTAAACAGTTTTGCCAACACTTAAATATTTTTGTCTATTGCCGGTCAAGCTGACCCAATAGTAGCTAGGTGGCAACTCTGATGTCACCCTATCTCTCCTAAGATGGAGACAATTAATACCGACCGAATGCATTCTCTCATTGCTCTAACTACACAAAAGTAAAGTCTGCCACGACAGTCATTGCCTCGTGTAAGAGAGGAGTCGTGTACTCTGCTTTGTCGACACTAAAGTCTCCAGTAAACTAACACTTAATTGTTAATATCATAATTAAATTTTTTAATTTCTAAGTGTAGAAGAATCATTTTAAGAATCGGAAATCGTGACAAGATTTGCTCAATTCTGATTAATCATCCCATCACTGGTATGTACTAAGGTCTACAGTGGTTACTTTTTAAGCTTTTTTCAACAATATATTTTTTGTAAATTTTATACTAAATTTAAAATTCTCTTTAAGCATTTTAATTCAGAAACATTGCTTTTAAAATTTAGAAAATTGTAATAATGTCAGAGAATTTTTAAAGCATTACATTTATGATTGTTTACTAATTTTTTGTACATAAAAAAATTATTTTAACAGTATATAACATTAGCTTTTAATATGTAATAATCTAAAAGTCCTTCATTTTATCTAATGAAACATTTTTAGCTTTTATTCTAAGAGTTGAATTTTTTAGACTCAAAAAAATATTTAATACTTTATAACACTCTTAATGGGTACCATATGATAAAATATAATAAAAGACCTGTTTTACTTGACTGTAAAATTTGGAAAAAATTCAAATTTAAATGCTTTTAGACTCTTCTGTCTTGAGGAAATGTTTAGAATACTGTAAAAGGTGTTTTAAGAATTTCTTGAACATGGACAAAAGTATTTAAATTTGAATAGTTTTTACATTTCATTAAAGCAATTTTTATAATACTTTCTTTAAATTATGAAGAAATTAAATTTAATATCCTCAAGTTAAATATCAAATATTTTCTTTCAATCTTTCCATCCTGCAGGCACTAAGAGAGCCTTTAGTGCAGTGTATTTATACTAAGTCTGTCTCTTTTTTTATTGAGCCATCATGAGTTTGGATGGGTGGCGATGGATGGGGACCAATGTATCTGGGACAGATTACCCCAAAAATTTCCTGGAAAGTTTTTTCACCCATCTGAATTTGTTTCCAGATCCCCAGAGCAGAAGGCTGACACTTGGCCATCCAACTGTCATATCAATTAATCAAAAATCAATACTTCTTAATACTCATTATAAATTTAGATTAATGTTCAGAAATTTAATGAAAACTTTTTATAGTTGAATTAAATATAATTGAGTTATAGATATTTAAGCTCTTGTTCTTTTTGTATTATATTTATGTATCTAGTTTCATCGATGATGCTGATTATTGTGTAATTGTAGCTAGATAATAAGATTGTGACAAAGCCAAAGAATAATCAGTTAACAGCTGCTCTTATTAGCTGATTGGAAATGAATTATAATAGCAGAGTCAGTTGCAATCTTTGTTTGAAATGTCTGGTAAAAGATCTGCTTGTACAGAACTTAAAGTCTTGAATTCCTGAAAACAGAGACTATAATCAGTTAATATACTTGAGCTATTGTTTACTTAGAGAATTTTTTCACCTTTTTTGAATCCATGTTTTTAATATTTAAATTTGATTTCTTGAATGGAAGTAAAGTCAAAATTCTGTCTAATTTTATTACCAAAATATTTGATTTGAGGATGGAGATTTAATTGTCAAATATAGTTTGACATGGCAAAAATGATTTCATTACAAATAAATTATCTTGTAAATTTTTTGATAAATTATTTATAAGCATTTTTAGAAGTGAAAATTTTATATATAATCTTNTTATTAACAATATATTATTAAAAATGCATTTATAAATAAAATACAGAACTGAGAATGGTTATTTGTGGTTTAGCCTAGTGACAAGTAAATTCGACCTAAGTCGCCTCTCCTGGAACCAATTACCGATGTGAGGCAAGGTATACCTGTAATAGCATTTGAGATAATTGGTTGTATAATGCAGTATTTATTTTTGAGAATTCTCTGTCTTGTTTTAATTATTTTATTATTCTTTTAATTCTAGTTTCATAATCTAAAAAATTATTTCATTCATTGATAAATTATAAGATGTGTGTTCATTAACATAAATAAATAACAACATTCAAAGCCTGAATAGTATATCTACTAAATTGCGGAACGATCGCCTAAATATCAGGCTATTATATGGCTAATTAAATTATTAGAATAAAGTAATTTGTCATTAGAGGCAGGCGTTAGGCACCATCTCTTAAGTAAATTAATAATTAAAATTAAATAAATAAATTATTAAATTAATTTTAGAACCTTCTGGTAAATTTATATTAATGCTGAAATACTTAATGTATGTAGCAAATATTACATAATATATATAGTGGGTGATTGGCTAACGAACAAATCGGATAACGAACACTTTCGCGAAAGATTTTTATGATCGGACAGAGAACACTTCACTGTACAAACACAAGAAGAAGTGACATAAAATAACAAATACCGATTGGTCTTCCTTTGTCTTCAGGCAACAATTCGAAACTTTTCGAAGTGTGGGAGACATCAACGTTCTACCCAGTATATACTGATTGGGTAGTATTCCCCCGAATTTTGAAACTTTCCCTTGTAACTTCAGCCTTTTATATTTCTGACAGAAACAATTCTTTTACATTTTCTTTTAAAAAAGTGATTTATGCCGATATCTGCTATTAAAGATCTTTTGAAGAAGTGGGAGGACGTCAGAACAACGGTCTTAAAATGGCATCCAAACCAGATTGATGTTAATTAATTAATAGGCCTAGGGATTTCTACAATTACAATGCTATTAATTACTTCTGAAAAATCATGAAGAAGACAGAAAAGCAATCGACATAGGACAGATTCTTTAACCTCCACAAACGGAAAAAACATGACTAATAAAAATGCAAGACCGTGTATATATGTATTTTTATTATTACATATGAATAAACTTAATAAGAAAGTATATATTTTTTATTTTTGGGGGTCTCTAGAACGAAGGAATCAAATTTCCATAGAAACCTATGGTAAATCGATAATCGGTTAACAAATAATTCGGATAGCGAACAAAGTCTTGGAACGTATTATGTTCGTTAACCGATCACCCACTGTATTGTATTTAAATAAAAATGTGTACAAGAGTAATTTATTATTTTAAAAATTATTTTTAGAATAAAGAGCCAAAAGCAGTTATTCGTGTCTCCGAACTGAATGCTACTTTTAGTCCAAATAAAATTGGTAACTTGAATGGAATGCAACTAAGTTATATAAAAGATGGTGCAACTCGTAATATATTTTTGTATTCTGAAGATGGAAAGGTGAGAAAATACTTTGAATTCTATTATGCTACTTAGTATTTTGAGAATTTGAAAATGATCAAATATACTCTCGATACTAATTGTAATTTTGATGATATGAAACCGTGCTTTACAATTTGTATATGCTTCTAACACAATAAAGTGTTATAAATTAAGACACTTGGCGGGTTTTCTCATCTTTATTTAGTTGATAAGTGTGAAAATTTTACACGTTTCGGGCTCTTAAGCCCCTCTTCAGCCAACTAAAACATTAAAAAAGAATATAACATACATATAAAAACACAAGTATTGTAGAAATCATAAAAATATAAAACGTACCTTTCACTTACAAAACAGTTCTACAAAATCCCTGATCTAAAACATATTGTGGACATAAACTTATTATATAACCAATNTATAATAACTCCAAAAGAATTACAAGGAAATTATATTAATAATGCAAGAGAGATATAATTTAATTGAAAGCATTTTTGAGTTTAAACAAAAGCTAATGATGACCTTTTTTGATCATTGAAGTTAATTCCTCATCCATTTCTTGGAGAAAGATGAGATCATCTTGCAATCTTATGCAGAGATCTTGAAAAACCAATTGCACAAGACCAGATCTTTAAATCAAACAATAATGTACAAGAGGGGTGGTGAAATGGGTTCATAAACAGCCAAGCCATTTTTGTGAGAAGGGAATAAAAAATCCTGCAAAGTAGTGGGATACTTGCCTTAATTTAATCATGGAAGGAAATATTTTAAAAAATATTAAGTGGAGGAACTTCCTAAGTAGAAGTTTTTAAATTGGTTCCTTGAAAAATTCTTAACTGAGTTCTACTGTATAACACTTTTGAAAAAGCATTATTTCTAGAGATGGGCAAATATTTTTCTCAAATAAGTTATGTAAGGTAATTAAGTTCACTAATATTTATTATTTAATATATTAATAAATTACCAGTAATAAAGGAGAACAAAGTAAAAAGACCAGCAGTTATTTATTGTGATGTCATGACAATGCTGGGCTGCAATTTTTAATCATGTGTTTAATTTATTTCATTTAAAATATGTGCTCTTTACCTCAATTAGTAATGTCTTGCCCCTGTACACCATACTTTTCCTTTAACAATAGAATTTTGCGGGTTATCTATCTAACACTTTTCGGGGAGAATTTTTGAATTGAAATAACATACTTGCAGTTTGCATCAAAGTTCTTATATAGTTAATTGGGGCCTCCTGTCCCCAAAGTTCCCTATCTGGTCTCGTCTTTCATCTATTTAACACCGTTCTCGAGATTAAGGAAGGACAGATGGATGGCAGTGTGAAGTTATAGGTCTACAGTTATTTTTCAAATTGCTACAAATTGATTCAAATCAGATGATGTTTAAAATTATACAAGATGAATAAAAAGCTCCTTGCAGCAAAAGGTTGCAAAGAACTTTTTATTACAGTTGGATGGGACCATTTTTGTTGTTCTTTTAAAATGATATTCAAAATGAAAATATCCCATCTGATTCCCTGCACTTCCAGTATAACTATATTAACAAAATTAATGTAACTTCAGTACTTTGGAACAAAAAAAAGGTAAAAAGGTAGCAAGAAACTTTTGACTCGCCTGTATTAATTTATATTTTTGTCTTGATTTTAACTGTTAATGATATATAAAACTACTATTATTTATAAAGAATTGCATAAATTATAAATGTGAAGATTACAGTAAAATGTTGGGGTTCGTATACAGAAAGTAGAGACAGAACCATTGATTTTTTTTGAGAAAGATACAAAAATGTTAAACTCCTAACCAAAATCAAATTGTGTTTTATTTGTTTAGACATAACAATTACCTACATAGTGTACATAACTGATAATATACAATTCCAGCAGCAGTATAGTTAAATGATTATGCATTCTAATCAGACTTTTTCCAAGAAATAAAACAATATGTATTTATTTATTTTGTAATAATTTAATTTAGATTCAAATACTTAACATTAACTACCCACATCATTTTCAAGTAACATTTTGCAAGCAATACAATTTGAAAAATTTGGGAATTTTGTACTCCTGAAATAATGAAATCATATCAAATAGAGAATGTAATTTCTTTTCCATTAAAATAAAGCACAAGTGTTTCAGCTAAGTTTTGGGT